TCCCTACCCTTCTTTAAAGCAAATGCTTCAGAAGAGCTCAGCTCCATTCCCTGCCTTCAATCGTCCTCACCCATTATCTTGGGAGCCCTTGGGTCAGGCTTTCTCACTAACCATTCCACCGATGTATTCCAAAGGCATCAGCGTACCCATTCTATAGCCAGTGACAATTCTTACTGCCCTCTTCTGTGACCCACCACACCATCTGACACACATGAACCACTCCCTTTCCCTGAAGCATTTTCTTTGCTCGGCTTCTGCAGCACCACGCTTTCCAGCGTGTCCTCTTGCTCTGCTATCGTCCCTCCCTCAGCGCTCCTCCTCCATGGGGGCTCCATCTTCAGGACTTGCTACTGATGATCACTCCCTTGCTTATATTATCTTGTCTCATGGCTAAAAATATCATTTACACGCTGACGCCTCCCATAGTTACGTCTCACTGAGAACTCTTTCCTGACCTCCTGACTTTTATATCTACTTATCTATTACATGCTTTCACTAGTTAACATGCAGCTCGACCTTCATCAAGCCAAAACCTAATACATTCAGTACATTTATACTCAATCCCAGCCCCTAAACTTGCTTCACTCAGGGCCTTTCTCATTTCAGGAAATGGTAACTCTACCATGCCAGTTGCTGAAGGCTACACTATGTCAGAGACACAGCCAAGAGAACAGAGAGGGAGGAAAGAACACAAGATGCTCATAAAGCTGATGTGGAGGATGCTGACAGAATCTGCTCAGAAACGAACAGAAAAGGAAACATTTCTACCACGGAAAGCCAGACAGGCTCACTACTGGAGTGTAAGACTTATGGAGAGTCTTTGGAGAATGAAATATGAGAAGTGAAAGGCCCTTTGTTTTCTGATCACTCAGGAATGTCCATGCAGGATGGAGATCGGAGAGACAAGCCCAGCTCAATGAAGGCTTCACTGCTCATGGCTATCTCACGATCAGCCTGAGAGTTAGGCCCCTGTTCAAGAAATCTGAATCATCTCCTTAATTCAACACAAATGAGTCAGAGGCTGAAGAACAGGGTCCAGGCCCTCATAGTAAGATAAACACTGCAACAGGGCTATATCCGTTGCTCTACTTTTTAGAACCGCCTATGGTGTTGTGCTAAGTCCTATTACCAAAAACAGCAGCAATGAGCCAGGTCCACTGAGCACTGTAGGTGGACTAACTCATTTTAGCCTCTTCACAACCCGTTAAGGGGCCTACTATTTTCCTCCTCGCTTATGGGGGAACTGAGGCACAGAGTCCTGAGTTATGTAGCAAATAAATGAGAGTGAGGATATATGCTCTTCTTTTCTGACTTCAAGGGTCACTCCTAACACTATGCTGCCTCTCAAACAAGAAGGACCAATAAGCTAACATTTCCAGAATACGAGACATAGGCCTTCTATACATTTTACATGATTGCCATCCTTAATACTCATGATAACCCTACAAAGACACTGAGGTAGAGGAGAACTAGCCCAAGGTTGCCAGCCAGGGTTGAGATGGTCTGAATCAATTTATAGAGCCCCACTGTTTTTTGTTTATTATTATTTTTTTGGTTGTTGTTGTTACAGTTTTGCAGTTTTTGCTATAGCATCCATATGCTCACCAGAGAGAGAGAGACAGAGAGGGAGAAGTAGAACAAGAAAGTGAGAAGTTACCCCTCAAGAGAGAGGCCACACTGCAATCCTTCTCCTCCATTCTCTTCTCAGGATTTTGGGCACACATGCACACACGCATGCATACACACACACACACACACACGCATACACACACACACACACACACGCATACACACACACACACACACACGCATACACACACACACACACACAAAGCCCATCATGATTTTCCAGCTGCTAGGTTCAGGACTTGAATGGTGAAGTTGGCTATGTGTGATGCGGCCATCTTAACTGCCACGCCATCTGCTGGCCCCGGAGAGTCCCTACTCAACCACAATGCCATACTGCTGCCTGCATCTTGCTTAGTCCCCACACCACCACCAGAGGAAGCTGCTAACACCTCCCTTTTGCAAGTAAGGGAAACAAAAGCTCAGCAGTCAGCAGGGGGCAGAAGTGGGGCTTGTGCTCAGTTGGGGGATCTTAACAGCCTGTTCCTGACCATGACTCATGGATAATTCACCAGAGGGCCAGGCACTCCAGGAGCTGAGGAGAACTTGTCCCATACCACAGCTAAAGGCACTGCGGGTTACTCCAAGCATAAAGCTATCAAGGACATCAAAGACTCTCCCATGGCTGTTTCTTACAAGAGAAAGGCCCCACCTGTTATTTCCCTCAGAATAACAATGAAGCACCCAAGAAATCTTAAACCTCACTTCCCTGCCCTTGCCATCCTCAACAACAGTAGAATCACGTGCACTTACGCTTTGAATGCTGGGAGGTAGGAGTATATAGAAATGCTGCTTAGGTTATAAATAAAAGGCAGGTGTTTTCTGATATCTGTTGTTGCCCAGCTGCTAAAAAATGTGTTCAGTAAGCCCTGGTCCCCACCTGAAAGAGAAGAACAATGAATTCTAGTTAACAAACTGTCGGGACAGCTCAATAATTTTATAGCCATATATAACTGGACCTTTAAAAACAGGTACTAATTCCATTTTAAAATAATAAACATCATGCTTCTCAGGGCCCCTAACTAGTTGGCGTATTGACGGCAGACCCTGAAGGCCCCATCACCCCTGTGGTACTCTCCTGCCACTGGCCAAGCCTCCCAGCAGGTCCCAGTCAATCAATACTGTGGCCAAAGTCAGCCACAATTACACAGCAAAATGCTTGCTTAGTCCTTGAGGTTCTGGGGCTTCACACTTTCCTTGGGAAGGAAGGACCATAGCCATTTATTTGAAAGAAATAAAAATAATAAAAACCTACACAGTTAAGTAAGCACCTGACCTAAATCATAAACATGTCAGTAACCAAGCAGGTCACTAAAGCATCGCAAAACACATTCCTCCATGCGGTCCGCATGCCTCTCTCTTTCAGACGTACAAGATTTCAGAAACCATTCTTAGAGCCAGTCTGCTGTGCTGCACAACAGGAGGCTGTGGCATGCGAGCACATGCATGTGGTACGTGTGCACGTGTGTGTACGGGAGACGGCAGGCAAGGAGACTCCTGCTCTTTCCAACTGCAAGCCTGGCTTACTACTGCACAGTCATTTCCTTTCTCGGGCTGCTTTGCCCCGAGCTCGAGTTTTCTTTCTCAATCTATACCAAGTCCAACTGGCTGTCATCACCATTTGGCTGCTCTAGGTTTTGACAAAAATCTGCAGATTTAATTTTTAGCCTGGATTTATGTTAAAACATCCCAATGTACCTTATCACACTCTGTTTATTCTATTCTTTCCAAATACCTTTTATCAACTCCAAGGATCAAAGGCCTTCACTGAGTGAACATCTGTAGAGTGACCTCTCTAAGGAGGAGGCTCTGACAGTCCTCGTTCCACAAGGGACAAGTAACTCAACAGAAAGTCAGAGTTGCACCCTCATAAATTCTGGAGGATAGGGACCAGCAGTTAGCATAATGGCTATGTCGCTGGACTCCCATGTAGTTGACCGCGGTTCGAGTCCAGGACCTGGTGGCTTAAACTCACGCCAGGCGCGTGTGCATGCGTGCCCAAGATCCCGAGAGGAGAATGGAGGAGAAGGGATTGTGGTGTGGCCATCCCCCCTGGGGGGGTGATTTCTTGCTTTCTGTCTCTCTGTCTCTCTCTGTCTGTCTGGCGAGCGCACGCACCCTATAGCAAAAAAATAAATAAATAAAAAATAAATAAATAAATAAATAAATTCTGGAGGATAAAGATGGCAACAGGGTATAATTCATTGCTGTGAAAAATGTGACAGGCTGTTTATGTCCCCCAAATCTCTATGTTGAGTTCCTAACCCCAAGGTGACATGGTATGAGTTGGGGACTTAGGAAGTTACTTAGGTCACAAGTATCTTCCTATGAGTGGGAGGGTCCTCAAGAAAGGGACTAGTGCCTTTATTAAAGAGGCCAAAGAGGGTTATGCGGTCCTTTCTACCACGTGAAGGTACAGCAAAGACGGCAGTAGTGAGGCAATAAGTGGGCCCTCTCCTCACACCAAGTCTTGGCATCTGGATCCCATCTTTCCCAGTTCCTAGAAAAGTGAAAGATAAATTTCTATTGTTTATAAGCTTCAGTCTATGGTATTTTGTTGTAGAAACCTGAACAGACTCAGATAACAGACAGATAGGAAAACAAAAGGCAATTTTAGCTACATAGACAAATTATCATATTTTTATTATGATAGCACGTGTGCACACACGAGACAGAGAAACCACCCTTGATGAGGACTCATCATGCTGTGATCCCCTCCTCCCAGCCCTCCGGCTCCTCAGGATCTTCATGCCCACACACGTGGCCTGTTCTCAGGCTGACGGGGAGATGTGAACCCACAGCTGGCATGTGGTTCCCAGCACTGCCGTCCAGCACACTAGAGACTCTGCCACCTAGGCTAGGCAATTATCTTATTTTGAAGCTCAAAATACTGAAGCCAACACACCACGCTATTCATCAGAGGCTTATTGTGAATTCTATGACGATATCCCACATGTGAGACTAGATGCTGGTGGCTGAGGTAGAGGCCTGAAGTCTTACTAATTTCCTTTAACATAGAATGTCAAAATAAAGGCTGAAGACATATTCACAAAACGACAAAACTTCAAAGAGCCCAGGCGTCCTTCAATAGGCGCATAAATGTGGGTATCCATATAATGAAATACTGCTAAGCAATAAAAAAAAAATGGACGATATTCACAATTACTTGGCTATAACACAAGGGAATCCGGCTGCATGAAAAACCCAAGTTCCTGAAGGTTACTTACTGTGTGATTCCAATTATATAACCTCCTTCATTTGATACAATTAGAGAGATGGAGAACAGATTTGTGCTTGCCAGGAATATGGACAGGGAGAAAGAGAGAGGGAGCCACCTTTGTAAAGGAGTATCGGGACAGATCTTTGTAATGCAACTGTTGTGTCTTGACTGTGATGGTCACACCAACATACATGTTATAAAATTGCACAGAAAACACACACATCTGTACAAATACATGTGAAACTAACTAGTGAGATCTGAATAAGGCTGGTAGATTGTACAAATATAAATTTCCAGGTATTATACAAGATATAGTTATGCAAGGTATCATAGCTATACAAGATATTGGCACTGGGAGAAACTGTGAGAGGGCCGTATGGAACTTCTCTATAGTATTTCTCACCACTACATGTAATACCACAATTCTCTCTAAATAAGAAGGTTTTAAGAAGTTTAAGGATTGAAGGATTGATGAGATTAAAATGCAAAATACAACCAGGAATTACTAGTCATTAGATTCTAAATTCTATAAGGACAAGGACTGTGACTCATTTCACTTATCATTATAATTCTGACATTCAGCAGAATGTTTTATACATAGGCAGTTTTTTTCGTATGTGTGAAACGAATACAAAACCTTAAAATATTCTGTTTCAGCAAAAAAAGTTGAAACAACTTACATACTCCACCCCAGAAGGTTAATACTACACTGCAATACCAACCACTCGTAGGAATGTTATTCAGCTGTTAAAACTAACCTCCATAAAACCATTGCTTCACTGTATACCATCAACATCTACATATGTTGCATTACTAAGAACACAGACATTTACAAACATCACCCTGAAAGAAAACAGGTGAAACACAGCTATTGTGTTAGGAAGCTGGAGTAAGAGATGTTCCCACCCCTCTGACTTTCTTTAGTGTTATATCATTTTTGTAATTCTTAAATATTAATAATTTATATAATTGGAGCAAAAATAAAAATTTTGCTAAGATCTTTCTAAACATCCTTTATTAATTTATTTTTATTATGCAGTATACTATTAAAAGACAAATATACATGTAGTATATTATAAAGAATATTAGTAGTAAAACTATCCACTACCCAAATTAAGAACCTGAACATTACCTACATTATTCTCTGTGTGAGCTCCCCAATCCCATCTCACTGCCCCTCCTCACCCTGACGTCACTATAAATTGTGAATTCTATTTGAAATCGTCCTTCTTTATTTTATTATACCACATATAGTATGCATCCCCAGATGACATACATGGGTTCTCTTGTTTCTGAACTCTGTAATGTGCTGGGCATCATAATTTTTCTACACCTTGTTTTTAAAGGCACAAGACCTTTTTTAAAATTAAACAGTTCCACTTAAAGTAACTATTGGCTACATGCAATGCGGTGAAGAAATATAATTCCATGGAGGCCTGAAGAGCAGTTCTAGAGAACTTCCAAATCTGACTTGTGTGAGGCTGGGAAACACAAGTCAGAGCTGCTGATCCCTCTGAGCCCCTGGCTGGGTGCCTCTGGCCACAAAAGGCCATTTCCATTTACCCTCAGGTACCCTACAAACACTGTCAGCCCATCAGCTGTGTGCCACAGGAAGGTCAAAGAGCTCTGGTGGAACAGGAAACCAGGAAGAAAGAGAAAAGGCACTTGGTGAATCAATGGCAAAAATGCTGAAACACTCAAGAGCAAGAACTTTGTCTCCAGAAGGACAACACGGATCTTGAAACTTCTACTGCCACTGGCCTCATGATGTAACTACACAGGGTCACCTCTGAAGCCCCAACATGGCTAAAAAACAGAATGAACTATGTCTAAAAGTCTGTGGCTTCTTAAATAATCTTTGAATTCAGCACTATGGAAATCCTAACCATCTTTTTCCAAATGCAGAGTTCAACATTCAAGTTAGGCAAACATACTAACTTCATTGGAAAGTTTATGTGTGCTGTTATAAATACTCTCTCTTTACTAGTATCTAAATTAGAACGATTCAAAGCAGAATGTAAATCTAAGCATGTCTTTGTGACAAAACACACAGCGATGCCATGAAGACTGCTGGGACGGCACTAAAACGCTAGGACTTCTTGTCCAGTACGTTCTAGTCAGACTTCCAGAGGCAGGCTTTATTTCACCTGTGAGGTTAAGACAGGACTGTCAGGCATCACCGGCAGCTGTGAAGTGGCAGCTAGGGCACGGCAACACAGGGGAGAGGCAGGCAGGAACAGGAGGAAGGGCACATGGCACCTGCTTTGCAAGCAAAAGCAAGTATCTGATGCTGCCTCTTCCTTCCATTGGTTGGCCCAATGCTAGTAATAGCCTTACAACTACTTAGTAGTTTTTCATTCTTTTGAGCAAGTTTGTGGGTCTGGTAACCATGGACACACCATAACATTTACCAGAAACTGAGCCTGTGACTTTTATAAGACAGAAATAGAGCTGTTTGAGTGCTATCCCTTAAGTATGTGCATTTGTTCAATTCCTGTACACTTTGTGTGCTCTCCACAGTTCGCTGGCAACTGGCTTGTCTACCAGGGATAGTCGGTGAACCAGTCAATTCTGGTTTAAACATAAACTCAAGTATCTCGGCCACAGGAATGTTTCCCCTGTATCTGTGCTCCTCAAAGTGTGGTCCAGGGTCCAGCAGC